GGTGAGTTAGGAGTGGAATTACTCCAGAGATCCAGGGGAGGAGGACAGAGCAGGGTGGACACTCCTGGGAGGTGCCTTGGGCTTCAGCATCCCTTGGAAAAGCTCTTTTTTCCACAGAGCAGCTCCACCTCAGCACAGGATCGGTGCTGGGAGGCACCACAACCCCACAACCCTGAGAATTTGGCTGGGCTGGCTCCGGAGGGAATCGGCTTTGCCTGGAAGTGCCATTAATTGAGGGATCAGACCTGGTGCCAAGAGTTCCAGCAAGTGCCCGAGCGCGGCCGGGATGGGGAAGGGCAGGAGAAAGGGCCGGCACCGCCTCGGTCCTGCAAACCCCCCTTGGGGGAATTCAACGCTTTAAAAGGAGCAGGCCCCATCCAAACCATAATTAATGGCAAAGCTTCGGCTGGGGGAGAAGTAAATAAATGGATAAATCAGAGCCCTGACAGGGCGGCGAGGAGAGCTGGGAGGTGTTTTGCTGCCAAATCCCCCTCCTGCCTCAAGTGTGTGTTTGGAGAGGGAGGTGGGAGCGATGAGCTCATGGTTTACATCCCAAACCGTTCCGCTCTCCCCCCTTCCCAAGTGTCCAGGAGATCCTGGGAAGCCCTGGGAGCTCTCAAGCAGCCGTGGTGTCCCAGCAATCTCAATTTTCCGTCCAGTTTTTGACCATGCTACAAATAACCCGAATTATCAAGGGAGACGAGCTGGCAGAACAAAGGCAAACCAAACAAAAAACGAAACGAAATTGGAATCTTTTTTTTCAGTTCAGCCAAGGCACTAAAAACACCCGCTCAAGGGCAGGTTTAACCAATAGGCCAAGCTTAACAAAGCACAAGAAGGGAATAAAAATAAGCAAATAAACTGATACAAGTTTTACGGCCTTCAACGGCACAAACAATGTTTTATTTTTACGCTTTGGGTTCAAAAACTGTCTGAAGAGCTGGAATTCCTCCCTCACCTCCAGCAGGCTGGATTTGAAAGGTTTAGGAGAGTTTTAAACTGCTCTGGTTCATTCTGCATTACCACTCTTGGAAGACAACAAACTTTTTGGGTTATTTTAGGTGGCACCAGGGCCACCCTGGGCTTTCTCCACAGCCACGGGGGTGAAGCCAGGACTCTGTCCCGTCCCAGAAAGGGGACAGGGCAGGGGACCCTCACCTGTACTGTTGTCTCGAGTCGCACCTCCCTGCATTCGTCTCTCGGAGCTTGGTGGCGAGGACTCTGATAATATTGATAAAGAGAATAAAATTTACCTGCAGGGGAAAGAAAACAAACAAACAAACGAGAGTTGTTAAAAAAATTGATGAAAATTGGTGTTGTTTGGTTGGTGTTTCCCCCAGGTGTGACAGGGGCTGGGATTGGGGAGGAAGCTCCTCCTGTGGAAGGGAAGAGGAATGATTAAAAACCAGGAATGATCCCAAGGTTTTTAACCTACAGGGAGAACATGGAATGGCTCACAAGGTGTGGGCAGCTCACATGGAAACATCGGAGCCAGCCAGCCCAGCAGGCACCTGGAGGAGGCCAAAATGGGGTTTTATTTGTCTTTACAGCCCAGCTGGGATTGAGATCCCCTCTGGATACCAGGAGCACTCTTAGGATGCCTTCCCACATTTCAGTGTGCAAAAGGAAAGAGGAACAAGCCCAAGGCACAATGGTGAAGACACAGAGTGGGCCTAACTGGAGATGACAGCTCAACAATGAAGAAGGGCAATGAAACTCTTGGATTTCTCCCATATTTCCACTGCCAAATTCCTCTGGGAAGTGTTTAGGACGGAACAGGCGAGGACAGTCAGGGAATATCATCTACTGCCTTTCAGGGAGACACATCCGTGAACCCAACTCGGGGCCAGATGCTCAAGATAATTCCAGTGGTGCCTTGGAAGAGGCTGCCTCAGGAAGAGGTGGAATCCCCACACTGGGAAGTGGTGGAATCTCCATCCTGGGAAGTGGTGGAATCCCCA